GCTGGACGTTTTACTGAACTCAAATCATATAAAAGAAACATTAGCCTGTTACCTTTATTGTATTCACGTGCACACGGTTCCTGCGCCTCGTGAACCACATCTGCTAAGGCCAGTCCGTACGCGGACAGAATACCACCAAATCTGTTTGAAAAAGTTGTATCAGTTCTCGGTTTATTTGTAATAATGGATTGAGTAAGACAACAGTTTATTTAAATATTAGCCTTGAGTTACAGTTTCAGTCTCAACTAGTTTTCAATATGAATAGCGGGGGTAAGTTTCTAAAGAATCTGTGGTGCTGTATTTGTGGGGTGTATTACAAATGCTCTTTCACTATTCACAGAGAGGGCGATAAAGCCGACAGCCCCATCCGTTAAATCTCGTCATCGCCGTAAAAAACGTATCCTTGGTCTGTATCCGTGTAATCCTGACCCAGTAGTGTCGAATGCCAAAACGTAAATGAGGGCGCTTTTAACACCAAACCCAACGGAATTAAGACGGCCAATCAAAACAACGGAAAAAATTTCACAACGAGCCAATGGGAACTCAAAGTGAAAACCAAACGCGTTAATGTTTAACAAGAACCAATCAAAAAGGAAGAAAAAGGAAAGCAACTCAGAATAACTTCTAGTACTCAATAGAAAGTGTTCATGGACCAAAAAGGCGGTTGAGGATAAGAATGACGAATGCTTTCCTCTTTTTACATGAATTGCGAAAAACTGATGTTTTCTCCTTACCGGTGAATGAACACAGATGACATTCCCAGGGACCGTGCAATGGAGCAAGCATGCTGGCCACCGGCCCCACCAAAACAAGCCAAAACATGACGTGAAGTGTCATGGCCTCTGGCCTCAGTAAGCGCTCTGATTGGTCGACACATGGTCTCGTTAGCAACTGTAATGAACCCCATGGCAACCTGTTCCACCGTTAAAGGATCCTTCTTTGCGCCGTCGTCCTGGGAGGCTAGGAATTCATTTACCTGGAATAGAAAACAGAAAAAATTAGCTGAAGAAATAAGTTAATAACATGGGGCCGTTCGAATGAAACAATAATCCAATGGGTGTCGACAGTAACCTGATATGGCACACCATCCTCTACGAAAAATAGATGTAAAACCACACCTAACCTCAACTTGGTCACTTGCGTTTTCTCTCTTAAGGTCCATTCGGCTGATCTATCTAAGGTTGTATGGGATTCTTTTGTTATATTTGTTTCTGCTTGGCTAATGTAAACACTTTCGTTTTGAATTCACGGCACTGAATAGAAAAGCGCTCTACAGGGGAACCTGTTTCGTTTTTGAGTAATCTTCATTTGTGACTGTGTCCCCGCGTGAAGTAAAGGAACAGTATGCTAAAATTTCGAAAACTGGAAATGGCCATCAAAAGGTTCCTCTTCTACAACTTCCGGTTTTCCAAAGACTTTTTTGCAAACATTCCCGCACCCTTTAGCTCGGCCTGAAAGACAACTAATTGCT